GGGTGAATCAACACTGTCTTACTGTTGTGAAAATGTAAGCCATACTGGGATGCATGAACAACAGTGTTGCAGACAACACAGTGAAGTAGTGTTTCTACTCCCACTGACATGGATAGATATTAAATTGAGTACTGCATCCTGTTTCAGGCATCTAACTTCAAAGAAGGATTTCGACTAACTGGATGGAACAGGATAAGGAGCAAAATATGTACTCTGGGGCAAAAGACTAAGGGAACCAGTTTGCTTAATTTCAGAAGAAACTAAACCTATAGAACTCCAGCAATGCTTTAAGCAGATGGTCCATTAGTTGCTCTAGAAAATGACCAAAGCTGTGACCAAAGTGCTGTAAAGTATTAAATTTCTTCTATTGTCCAGAGCTGAAGCAACAGTGAAACAGTGAATGCAAATGAAGATGGATCTAGAGGGGAAAAAAAATTAAAAAAAGAAAAATTAAATGTAAACTAGGAAAAAAAGAGTATTTCAAATATTTAACTACATTTGGAAATGTATTCTCAAATATCTGTTTCAGGTCATATAAGTTAGGGAAATATTCACTGAAAACCAAGGTACCTATGCAGCAAGTCTCTGTTTTTAACCAGATGACTAATTACTACCCACAGGAAGGATAGCATCAGCAAAGTCTTCCTTACACCATTTAGTCCAGAACAACTTTGACAAAGAGCCATTAAAAGCAGTAATGCAACTTTCAATACTTAGTTTACACATTCTTAAAAAATTAGATTTCAAATTTAGAAATGAAATCAGAAGTCACCATATATTTTGTCCAATGAAATCAAGTAAAATTCATTTTGGATTATTATACCTCCCTCCCAAATTACAGGTAGATCTTTGACATTGATAATCAGCAAACACCATTTATTACAGACATCAAAATGGGTGGAAAATGGTGCCTCCTAAGGTCTGTATTTCATGTTAAAAGGCATTAAAATGTAAACTCTTTGTTGAAATACATACCTGAAATCTATTTTTTAACAAGATGTATGGTTGAAACTGTATTTTTAAATGGATGTTTAAAGACTGAGCTATTGTACCTTTTATATAAGCAGCAGAAGACAAGGTTTCAATTTGGATGAATGCCCCCAAGCAGAAGGCAGTAACCAGAATCCAGAATTCTTTTTGTGTCACACTAACTAAAGTTATGTCCATAGTTCAGCTAAGGTATATTCGCAGCACAGAGCTTCATTAATCCTACAATCTAGGGATTTGTCCCTTCTAAACTGACATTAATCTCACTGCCAGCCTTTTAGTTTTCATTCTTATTATGCTGAATTTCTTAAAATATAATTGAAATACCCTGTACCTCCTTGCTATTTTAAATCCAGCAATAAGACATAAATTACTAGTTGTTAAATTTATGTGCATTATTGTGGAAACCTTGAGACTTCTGTTTAAATAATTATCCAGAAACAAACAGACCTAACTTAAAATCCTGTTTCTTTAATCACTGTCTATCCCAGATCTACCTGGGCCACCAGTGATACCATTGCACTATGAATATAAAGCATAAATAATCAGTGAGTCAGAAACCAAAAAAGTGAGAAGGTAGACACTTAACTAACAGGTATGGCACATGTGTTCAGCAAGGATTTTTACATCTTGTCAGAGAGTAGTAGAGTAACAGAAGAGATTGAGAGGCCGTAGTCACCCACTATATACCGAAGATGCAGTACAGTCTCAGGATTAAGGGAATCTTCTGAGAGATATAGGCTCAAATCCCAGAAGGTGGAAAAGAAGATTACATTTACAGTCTTGTAGTCCTGAACAAGTGCCTTTGACCTTGCAGTATTAGGCCAATACCACAACACAGTTGTATTTGGAAAGCAGGTGAGGCCCTTCATTTATTTTGCTTTTCTTAAGAGCGCATAATGCTGTAAAAATGAAACTATGATGGTTTCTGTTCCTGAAGGTTTCTAAATGATTTTAAGGTAGGGATAACAAAAAACTGAAACAGATGTTGAAGAGGTTGTAGTATGCCAACTATTGGAACACAGCCAGGACAGGTGAGAAAAGCACCTGTCAGGAATGACACATACTGACCCATAACTTTTTGTGACAGCAAAATGGACTGGATGACTTCCTGAGGTTCTTAGCTAGCTCCATTTTATTCTGATCATCTACCCTCCAGAAGGGATCAGACCAGTTTTAATCTTAGCAAAAGCAGAAATTCCTCCCACAGGTTTAAAGACTATAAATTCACTTGAAATGTAAGAAATTTGGATTCAAATGAATAATTCGAAACATTGAGGTATGTTCTTAGGGCTTGCAAGTACTCTATATGTCATCTTAACTCATATTTTAAATACGGTATCACTATGTAACTTTGGGGTGATGAGTTAAGAGAATGTATTGAAATATTGCAGAAGAAATGTAGAAAATCATGTCCTGTGAAATACTTGATGTACTGTCAACTGACTGAATATATTTATCAATAGTCATATCTGATTGTGTTGCAATTTTATCAGTTTCCACAAGTTAAGTGGATTAAAGTCTTTTTGGTATGTAGCACACCTCAAAGTAAAATATCAGGCAGAGTATGGGCACAGACACTGTTTAGAACTAAGCCAGACACCTACATGGGTTTAGGTATTAATAGGGTATGTTTTTTCAGACGACCGATATGCTAAAGCCATTGGTAAGGAAAGTCTATGTCATTCTATATGGGCAAGACTTGGAGTATCACTTCTGGCATGGCACCCAACCTCACATAAAATCTACAGTTTCAACAGACACAAAGGCGGTCTTCCTATCACAGGTTGTTAGGGAGACTTCTAATGCAAAGATGTTTCACTTCAGTATGGTTATTGTTTTCATATGACTGTATTAAAAGTTATAGGACAGTAAACATCAGAGGTATTCAGGGTATCACAATGTAATTTTAGAATTCACCCTTTATTTTTAGATTTATTCTTGCTTGAGACAGTACCTACCATTACAGTTAAAAGGGGAAAAGTATTTTTAATATTTATAGCCACTAATTTTAAATATTAAAGTTTGACTCACTGAAAGTGTATACTTTAGCATGAATAAATACTAACACAAAGCTAAGAAGTACTACAAATAGGACTATAATTAGACAGATGTGGAAATACCAGAATTTGATATCAGACACTGTGTGCTGTTGAACAGTCATACATTTCTTGCTAATCCTATAATTTCATCAATTAAAAAAATTAGGCATTTGAATACTGAGGAGGCATATGGAATGAAGGGACACCAGATCTTTAGAAAGGACAGGCTAGGAAGACCTAAGGAGGAGGGGGAATTGCCCTTTATGTGAAAGAGCAGTTGGAGTGCATGGAGCTCTACATGCGGATACATAAGAGCGAAACAAGAGTTCAGGTATTGGAGCATCTCTCATACAAGGCCAGGCTGAGCAAACTGGGACTCTTCAGCCTGGAGAAGAGAAGGTTCTGGGGAATATCATCAATGCATATAAATACCTGAAAGAAGAGCATAAAGAAAAATGAAGACCAACTCTTTTCAGTGGTGCCCAGTGGCAGACCCAGTTTCACAAACTGAAACACAGGAGGTGCCATCTGAACATCAGTAAACACTTTTCACATTTTCTATGACATGTCCTAAATTTCCTTCTTGCAGAATAATTTTAATTGCAATTTAATGGTGTAAGCTTGAATCTAAAGACGTAACAGAACTGCAGCAGGGCTTGTGTTACCAAGCTTTGCCTTCTATCTTTCAATCTCAGAATTAAAATCAAAGGCAACAATTTTCAACAATAAAGAAATGCCACCAAATTAAAAACTGACAATGCAGCGGATCAGTTGGCAGAAGAATAGACTGAGTTATGCAAGAGGACCTATAAAGCTTTCCTGTGTCGGTAATTTGCTGATATTTTGCTGTACAACAAAAAACAACACCAAAAAAAAAAAAAAAAAAAAAACAAAGCCGCCAAATGGAAAAATCAATGAATATTCCTCCCTAGCAACTGAGAAGAAAAATCAGGAGCAGTGTGGACAGGATGATGAACAGGCAGTAACTGACTGATGGCTGCAGTAATCTGAAGGGACTCAGCAGAAATCACTGTTTAGTTCTGGCTGCAGCAGTAATACCAGGCAACAAAATGCGGTTAACATTTTAGACCAAGACCGTAAATGAATTTTCACATTCATCAAAAAAAAAAAAAAAAAAAAAAAGTAAAAGGTAATAGTTATCAGTCCTTGCAATTGTAGTACATCTTGTAATTGCCATTAAATGTCAAAGATATTATTATTAAAGTACCAGTCTAGCAGCCTTCATGTGTACCACTGTTGAAAGACATCAACAAAAAAAAATCAGAATTAGATTGCAGTTTTGTGACAGCAGCTGTATAGGATCTTTATGCTACAATTTATTACATATATGGTCATTTCAAATATGAAGAACTATAAGCACCAAAAGCTCTACCTGTAATCCCTATGGCGAGGCTCTGATTTGCTCCCCTAACCTATCTTGAGAAAATATTCCCAGGCTGTCAGCACGAAAGCTTGCTGAGATAAATGCCATGACATATCCAGAATGTCAGACCACTGGACTGTTCCAAAAAGAGTCACTGTAGAAAACCTAATTTAAATGAAATCAAAAGGCCCAACTTTCCTAATGACAGAGCTAACCTACTTTAATAGTAGTAAATGAGACGTTGTAAAAGTGTGTAACAGAAAACTTACATGCGAGCAATATTGTGCAAATTTTTTTGAAACTATTAATCTTTAGGATTACTCCTGTATTACTTAAACACCATCTATTTGAATTGTGTGTTGCCTAACTTCCAATCATGAATGTTAAACCTGATGAGTGACAATTACAACAAGAAGAGCACAACTTTTTCAGTCATAAAAAATCCTTCTTTAGCAGACCTCCAAAGTTTTAAGAGATACTGGGCAGAAAGTCCTTGACTGAGACAATTCTTCCATTGAACAGACAGAAGTAACATGAGTAATTCATTGAATTTTCCCAATAAATAACTGAAATGGGGTTTCACAATATTTGATTGTGTTTGTGAAGTATCGGGAGTAGTTCTCTATTCCCTCTAACCAGTTCCTGACCAGAGTTCCAGAGAGAAATGGAAAAGGCCTTCTCTTCCAAACCCAGCAGTTTTATGAGCTGAAAATAGAAAACAACTCATCACTAAAGCATATGGACATGATCTATCCCAAGATCATGATGCTATACCAGAAATGTTTAGCATACCACATCTCGTATATAAAGTGCCCTATTACACTAAGAGGTGAAAGGATCTGTGCTAAATCCTCATAATGAATTCTGATTATTTTTCTAAATATGCATAGCCAAAGAAACCAAACAAGTAAGAGCCCACTGTAAAATATTTCCATTTTGGTAACGTGCTGGAGCAACACACACAAATTTCCCACAATAATGAAGAGCGTACCACTCTTCAACCAGTTCATTCCACTCAGAACCACAAATACATCAAAAATATCTTCAGCACGTCTGCACAGAAATTTCCATAGCAGAGCACCCCCCCCCTCCTTGTAGCACAGAGCACGTCTGTCCCATCAGTCTTGCTAGAAGCGTTCCTTAGGTAGTATATGCCAGCAGCAGAGGGCTCAGAGGCATGCTGTAACCCTGTGAGGCCAACCCATGGAAATAGAACAGGCTTCCTGACTGCACAGTTGAGCAAAACCTGGACGTAGGAGAAAAATGAATTAATATTTAACAGTCACGAGACTTTTTAAAGGACTGATCAAAATTAAGCAGTTTGAAAACAGACTACAACTGAGAACACCCATCAAACAATAAAGAAGAAAATATGTTAGAGGGGACAATAAACGAGACCAGCCACAGAAATGAAACTGACATAGTGAAAATTGACATGAGCAACAAAGTAATTTAGAAGAATTTTATAGACAAAGAAATTATTATCACTGGAAAAATATAAAGAAGCAGATGGTTAAATTGTAAGTATTAATGAAAGTTAGAAACATTAAAAGCAGAATTTCCAGGTGAAACAAAATGTGAGAAAAAGTGCTAAGAGTAGCAGTGGTAAATTTAAAGGAGTAGGTAATAGGACACACAAAAAATGCCACACAGAGACTCAAGACAGTTGGGTTGGGTTTTTTTTTTTTATAACAGAAAATAAGGTAACTTGAGAAGGCTGTGGTCAACAGCGTGGTATTTCAATAGCTGGTATTGATGCTATTTATAAATAAAAATCTTTCTACTCACAATTTCAGGTTATATATCTAAGGATCACATAAGGATCATTTTTACTGTTACCAAAGAACTGCCCTGGGAGTTGATATTGGCTTACTTGTGCATTAAAATCCCTGGACTCTTTTGAGAATAACAGAAACATTCTTAAAAACTTCTAATTCTTGCTTGTGTTCCTGGTTCTAGGTGTTTGACTTTGCAAGTGTTTACACTAAAATTACACTTCCAAGTGAATCCGAATTACTAAAAAAAAAATCTATATTACTCCACAAAACTACACTGACATCATTGCTATTTACTATTAATCAGTCTTTGCATTACACTCCTTTGATAAAACTGAAAACATGAACATTTAGTGCTACAGCTATGTAGTTAGTTTTATGCCAATCTTGTAATCTTATCAAAGCATTAAGTCAGCTTTCTTTACAACAGCTATTTTCCCTAGAACTGTTGACTTGCATTAATTATATTCTTATACTTTTTTTTTTGTTTTAACCAGCTTAGTCACATGAGTTTTCTGTTAGACAACAGTCTAACCCAGTCATAGTTAACTCACTTAACTTATTTAAACATTGGCATGACATGGGTATAAACACAGCTTTCAGAAATTTCACCACAGAAAGCTACCATTAATATCAGCAAATCAAAAACCTAACCAACAAACCCTTAAGTAAGTTAATTCACAGAATCACAGAATGCTTTGGGTCAGAATAGACTTTAAAGGTCATCTAGTTCTAACCCCACCACCACAAGACGGCACACAGCACAAATCATACAATTCAAAACTGCATTTTTGTCCATACAACTTGTAACTCCATACTAGTAATAGACATGACACCAGTATCTATATAAAATGCCCCTGACCACATTCAGATTTAAAATAGGATTAGTCCACACAAACACACTGAAACTACAGTTAAACTACATTCAACTGATACTTTAACAAATTCAGATTCTTTTATTTCTTTCCAGTATACAACTCTTTGTGGTTTTTTGCCCTCATGATACACAAGACACACCTAAATGGGTGCAACTGACTTCTGTTGAGATGGACTAAGGAAGTTAAGTGTCTGCAAAAAACAAGCACAGTAAAAATCAGAATATTTTATTTAGTCTTTGCGTAATAGTTACATTAGTTTATACATATAGATACACACTTCAAACATAAGAGCAATATTTTAAAGCTTAACTTTCATAACTCCCATAGGAATGGCATTCTCAAACCAGAACACATGTACTAGCAAGAAATTAATACAAACCACTTCAAAGTAATGCATGGATGCTGTGTGACTGGATGCTGAAAACTACTTCTACTTCTGCCTCGAGTTAAACAATAATATATTTTTTGGAAGCACATGAAAGTTGACGAAGATGATCAGAAATTTTAAAAAATTGCTTCCTAACTACATTAGGACTCCCCTTGTTGACAAAAATGGCTGAGAGAGCATATAAAGTATATAGACTTTTACATAAAGAAAGTGACTAGGGAATCTTTTCCACTATTGTACTTCAGAGAATAAGGCAACATCAAATTACCAGAGATTATAAAACACCAGGTTTTCTAAAACAAAAGTAATCATAATGTGTATCTTACCATTATGATTTCTGAAACTGGTATTCTTTAAATTCACTGGTTTAACGCACAACTTCCTATCAAAACTTTCGAAAGATACTGGTTATAGTCGACTACGTACCGGCTAGACATTCAGGCAATGCCCAGATTTTATTTTTGACTCACACTGCTTTAAAAATATATTCAAATTCTACCCTATTATAGCCTCTTATCATAAAAGTGGTATTATGTTTCCTAATACCGCAATACTGGTGATGATCACATCTTTGCTCCTCAGACTAATAATGTTAATTACTTATGAATTCACCCCACTTCTCTTTACAAGCATTTTTTTAGTCTTTAAAGTTCTTCAGGAGCCTTTTCTCTTCCTGTTATTTTCTGCCTCCTCAACTCACATTGTTTCACCAGTTCAGTACCTGGCACCCTGTAACTATCCACTTGTCTATCTCTCCTATAAATATCTCTGTCCTATGATACATGAAATGGTGGACTACTTTATTGTAGAATACTTGTAACGCTCCATGTAACTCATCACCTCACAGTGTAAAACACAGGAACTGCATCTGAAGTACCAACTAGTAAGACATAATTAATCACAACTAGGGGGTCCAGATAGGGACTATCACAATACAAATTAATCTTAAATAGTTAAAATGACACAGGCATTCTTTTTTATTAAAAAGAAAAAAAAGTAAAAAAAAAATCATGCAGTTTTAGACTAAATGATGGTTTTAGACTAAACTTTCTGAACTAAATCCTTTTTTCGTGGAGTATACTGTTCCAAAGAAACTGCCAGTGACTCTTCTTTCCAACCTACTGTGCCACAGCACTGAAAGGATGTTGTAGCAGAAAGTAATTTGATCCTAAAATCCTGATCAGTTTAATGTGCAATGAAAAGTAAACAAAAGCTTGCATTGTTGCAGGGGAAAAAAAGCATCAAAACCCAACATTGTGGATTAAAGCAGGTAAAGAACTGTTTGATCTGTCTCAGAACTCTATCCAGAGCAAGCTGTTCAAACTTGACTGATGAGGGGAGCTGTGTTGACTTTTTTTCCTTCCCTAAAAAGCTTCCTAACACTGTAATCACCAACAAAAAAATCTCACATTATTCCAAGCTGCCATTAACCTTGGGATCATCTTATTATTTGGTAGGATTCTGTGCATATTTTCAAGAAGTCTTACATGGAGAAGTGGAAACAGCTGCAAGTTCATCAGACAAGCCCAGAGTCAGTCAGAAAATAAAAACACTCAAATGTAAATACATACAGCCCAGATGTAGTTTATAACCCAGAAAAGCTGAATGTATTATCCTAGCAGAGACATGGCTCCCAGTCAGAAATTAGCTTATGCTCACCTGAAGTCAGGTGGAATGAAAGATAATACAGACACTGAGTAACACATCTCTCGTGTAGATTACCATGAAAACCTCCTCTGTACAAGCCATGGTCTCTGCAGGTTGTACAAAATCAGACAATTTGGGCAAAACCACAAAGTGGCCATGCTTTGTACAAGCCAACACAAACTGCCGAGATTCAGAATTGAGCTATTTATTTTCTAGATGAAAAACAACTTCTGCAGACTCTTGTAATAGGTAAAGTGACAGTAAAATAACACGCAGAAGAAAGGCGTAACTAGTTAAGCGTAACTAGAACAGTATCAGCCTAACTGAAGCTAAAAATAGCCTGTTATTTCATAAAGCTAGTGCTGACCCACATTGAGGTGTTTTCCAGGCCGGCAGTATCTGGCTGGGGACTGACTCCCATGCCTCCACCAGTTACGCACGGAGCTGACACCACAGGTGTTTCCCACTGCCGGATTCACGCTGGAGACGTCCGCCTGTCAGTAAACCCCGTGTCTAAGAAGGGGCTTCTTAGGGGCGAGAGACAGAAGTCCACGTTCTTTCCCACTCCACTTCTGCCCTTCTGGGCCGATCCCCCACCTATAAAACCAGAAACCATGATTTAATTTGTCTCAAAAGCACAGAATAATTTGCGGACAAAACGCACCGAGAGCTTCCTATTAGCATCAAACTCTCAAAAGAGGTTTTGCGACAGGGGCGTTAAGGCGCTTAGGAATTAGAACGCAGAGCCGCGACTGCTTCACCACCGTCCGCTTCCGAGGCCGGAGTGCCGCAACACGCCATCCCGCTCCCCGCTCCCCCCTCACCCCGCACCATTTCCGCCTCTCAGCCCCGCCGGGCGCCCCACCCTCAGGCACCCCCCAACCCGGGAACTGGCTGTCTGCAGCCGGCGAGCCGCAGCGGCTGCGGAGCGCCCATCGACCGCCCTGTACCCAGGGCGGAGGGAACCGTCTAAAACTCGCCGTCCCACGGGAGTCGGGGGCCGTGCCGGGTGGCTCAAGGCCAAGCCGCCGGTGTGGGGACCAGCTCCCGCGCAGGGTGACTCCTAACCGGAGCCCAGAGGAGCGCCCCGCTCTGCCCGCGCACCGCCGCACCCACCCGGCCCTGCCGCCACCCGCTTCATTCACTAACCGGTTCTCGCCGGCTGCCTCCGCCTCCCGGCTGCCCCCCATCTCCGCCCAGCCTGCCTGCGCCACACCCCCCGGCACCTTCGCTCCCGCCCGCGCGCGCTGGCGGCGCCCCTAATTGGGCGACAGAAACGCTCATCGGTGACGTCCAGGAGCGAGGGTGGGTCCTGGGGCGCCTTTGCGGGAGGCGGCGCCGAGTGTCCCTGCTGGTGCAGCCGCATCCGCTCCGCGCCAGTCCGCAGAGCCGCCCGCCGCCACAGCTGTATGGTTCATCCCCGCTCTGCCGCTGAACCCCCTCCGGCAGCTCCGCGGCCTCCAGCGCCTCCGCGTCCTCCTGGTTCTGCTCCTCCTGCCCCCGGCGGTGGCGCCCGCACCCCGGCTGTATGATCAGGCTACAGTCTTCAATGAGTAACCATATTCCTGTGAGTGTCGCCCGCACGTCCGCGCCCCAGCCCGCATTCCCGGGCCCCTAGCCTCGCCGGCTGTGCGGTCCTCAGGCTGCCCGCGTGTGTCCTGCTACCGCGCCTCTCCTCCCCCTTTCCCTCTGCCTTCCCCGTTTCCTCCATCTTTCTTTGTTCTGTCGCCCGGGCCACGCCGGCTCCGGGCGGCTGCTCGCAGGGCCAGGCTGCGGCTTCTCCCGGCGGGTTACAGGAGAGCCGAAGAAGCTAGGCCCGGTGCGGGGGGGTTCGACCCTTCTGGCTCCCCTTAGCTCCTTCTCTCGCCTGACGGTGCCCGTTCCTTCTTTGCCGGGGAGAAGGAGGGGGCGACCTGTCCGCAGCTCCCGAGCGGTCCGGCCTGGGCACAAAGCCGCTTTGTGATCCTGGCTGCTGCCGGCCCCTCCCGCCGGCCCGGCATTCTCCCCCGCCGGTGTCTGTCTGGCGGCGTATGCCGGGCCGGGCCGGGTTGGGAGTGCGGGCGGCCGCCGGGAAGGGCAGCGCCCTTGCGGCCGGGGCCCCAGCACCCCCGGACGCCGTCAGGCCGGCAGTGGCGGGAGCCGGGAGCCCCCTGCCGGGGGGAGGCCGGGGCCGGGCGGCGGCTCCGGGGGACAAGATGGCTCCGTGTCGGGAGCCTGATCGAAGCGTGATGCGAACCCGTGACCGCCGCAACTGGGGCGACGGCCCGGCCCTTGGGGCGGTGTCACGGCTGGGACAGCAGCTCCTCACTGGGGAGAGACGGGCAGGTCGGGAGCCTGGCGCCCCAAGGCTGACGCGACGCTGGGGGCGTCCGGAGCCTGGGTCTTAGCGGGCAAGCCCCGGCTTGCCCGTGGCTGCCCGCCAGCCCAGTGGTGCGGTGGGGAGCGTGGCCGGGCCATGCCGCTGGCGGCTGGTTGCTGGGGCGGCCGGTGCTCGCTCCCCGCCGTGGCCCCACGTGTGCGGCCGCCGCCGGGGTGGGGGCGCCGAGCTGCTGCTTTGTCTCCGGCGTCCTCGGGTGGACGTGAATCCTTTCCGAAATGAGTTTTACGCAGCAGAGGTGGGGTATGCACGAACTCCCGTATGCAGCTGGCCTTGTTCAGGCCGGGCTTTGAGATGGCTCTTCGGCCGGATGAAAAGTCCGCAGAGGAGTCACTTGAGTACACGTTGAAGTCGATGTTTCTGCAACAGTGTGCCATTATCCCTCAGAAGCTCATAAACGCGGTCAAATTTTGACCGAAGCTGCTTTTAAGATCTTACCGTCTGGCTTTTCGAGGAAGGCATTTTCTTCCGGAGGTGGATCACGGTTTCAGCATCTTAAGTTTTTGCTTTCCTCATCTGCTTGCCAACTCCCTGTTCTCCCTTCCCCCTCCCAGGTAGTCTCGGTGCCAGTTGCTGCCTAGCATCTGTGACCGCAGCACACAAACAATGCAAGGCTTGCTGGTGGTAGTAAATCCTTCAAAAGTGGGGAAGCAAGCAAGACAAAGCGTTATGAGAATCAAGTAATCTACAGTAATAGAAACAGGATTAGTGATGGTTATGTGCAGATCTTGGTTGTGGTCTCGTAACCATCCATGCACATAGCAAATGTTACGAACTGACAAATGCACAGTCTCTAGCGTGAGGGTCCTGCAATTCTAATGTTTCTTAATACTGCTGTAGACAACTTTCCAATATGTCTCCTGCACAGGAGAAGTTTAGATTGGGTATAAGGAGGAAATTCTTTCCTGTTAGGGTGGTGAGGCACTGGAATAGGTTGCCCAGGGAGGTTGTGAATGCTCCATCCCTGGCAGTGTTCAAAGCCAGGCTGGCCGAGGCCTTGGGTGACATGGTTTAGTGTGAGGTGTCCCTGCCCATGGCAGGGGGGTTGGAACTTGATGATCTTAAGGTCCCTTCCAGCCCTAACTATTCTATGATTCTATCTACAGAGTCTTTCCCAAGCAGTCAGTGACTCAGATGTATGAACCCTGTCTCCTTGTAATCTTGTAAAACTGTGAAATCAAAAACCATGAAGGTGACACTTAAATGTCAGTTCTTACTATTCCATTGATGAAACAACAAAGTGTTTTGAAATTGTTGTACAGAAACAGAGTTGTTTTTGGGGAAATATAAAAGAAGCAGCACAACATTACACAGCCATGGCAGGAATTAAGATGGTGAGAAAGAAAAATGGGTGACAGAGCAGGAGCCAAAGAAGGATGTCATTGTCCTATTGAAACTAAATGTGTCAGTAAGACAGTAAATAAATAGAATTTAGCCTTATCTAATAACTTCTATCTTGTGCAGCCTTCCTGTTCTGACAGACTACATGCCACGTAAGAGTGCTGGATCTGTCCCAGTGTGTGGGCTGACTATAAGTGATCACTTGTTCCCTTAAAGATTAACCAGAGCACCCAGATCAGAGTATTACTGAATTCTGAATAATCTAGATAGCAGATAGTAACTTTATTTAAAAAAAAAACCCAACAAAACAGCTAAATTCACTCTCTTAGGTCAATACAAGAGGTACTTCTGTGTTAAATCTGTAACTCCTTACAGTTTTCTTCACAGATTAAACTTCTTGTTTGGCACTCTTACCCTTATTAGACGCAGTAAAATAGAGCAATAACTGTCTTTGCATGTATAAGCTAAATTTCTCATGTTACTGCTTTAAACATAATGGAGTAATTCTTGACTAGGATGGCAGGGTTTATGTCACTTGCTATTGAAGTGACAGCGTTAAGTCATTTTGAGATTCTCCTTTCAGAAACTCAAGGCTGCACTAGACAAGTGCATGGTTTCTGTGATTTATTATTTTTTCCCAATATCTGCTGAAGCTTCTTTGTGGGATTTTTTTTGTTGGTTAGTTGGGGAGGGTGGAGGTTGGTCATTTTGGTTTTTTTTTCCGTGGTCCAAGAAGAACTAGAAACACAACCACATGGCCTTAGTTTTTATCATCTCTGGAAGCTATATTGACTTGTTAGATAGGAAGCTTTGAGATAATTTTTTCTTCCCCCTAAACTGCATTCTTGAATCACAAGAAACATCCTTCCTTCACAGAGCATGTTGCAACAAATTTGTGATAAAACCTTTGGAATCTCCCCTCTGTGATAACTAGTGTATTAATATGTATTTTCTTAGGCCATCGGTCACTTTCTCTGGTCCAAAATGGTTAGTGTTATCACCATGGGTATCCTAATACAGGGATTTGTGTGCCCAGTAGATAGGACACCCATCATGTAAACAGTACCTAATGATGTGCCTCTACTTTGTGTAATGATTTTGCAGTTTGTACCCCTTACCCTCCCACTTCTTGTCTGCTTTAGCAGTTGTTACTTAGGCCTTGGGTAATAAGGGAAAGGGGTGTTTGTCCCTCAGTCTTTCAGTAACTTTTTGTCACGTAGGAAGTTAGAACAATGAACTTACTTGCAGGTGTTCTTAAACTATAATGAAATGTAGTTCTAGTTTTCTAGTTCTGATCCTGTTGTTTCAGTAGTTGAGCAAGTGATAGGTCTGTGACTGCAGAGAATGTGGTAGCACATGGTTGGTTCTGGATATGTTTCTGGTCTATGAACAGGTGGACTGAGCAACTGTGAACCATCTTGCACATCTTCTGAAGGTAGAGTGAAGTGTTCCGTAACTGTAAACAAGCACTTTTGTTTGCATGCTTCTCAAGATGCTGCCTAGTTGTGAACAAGTCAACAGCATAGGATAACTTTATACCTCTCTGCTTTCCACCTGTCAGTAAAAGTCTAGTAAGTTACTTGTTACTTTCATAAGCAGTTTTTGCCAGACACAAGTGATTGTTTCAAACCCAGAATTAACATGCAACTGAATCTACTTGTCAATGGGGACAGATACTTTAGCTTCCAGCCCTAAAGAAATACATGAATTAAAGCTTTTCTTTTCAAGATTAATTCCTCTTGCTTGAATTCTCTTAACTTTTCCTAGCATAAACGATGGTAGATGGTACAATCATAA